ACTAAGGCCCATACACTTCCCGGGGGGTTCCGGTAACCTCCCAGTACTCCGGTAAAATCTCGATTTCACCCGGAACACTTCCGATATCCAAACATAGGCTTCCAATATATCAATCTTTATGTCTCGCCCATTTCGAGACTCCTCGTCATGTCCGTGATCACATCCGGGACTCCGAACAACCTTCGGTACATCAAAATGCATAAACTCGTAATATAACTGTCATCATAACCTTAAGCGTGCAGACCCTACGGGTTCGAGAACAATGTAGACATGACCGAGACACGTCTCCGGTCAATAACCAATAGCAGAACCTGGATGCTCATATTGGCTCCTACATATTCTACGAAGATCTTTTATCGGTCAGACCGCATAACAACATACGTTGTTCCCTTTGTCATCGGTATGTTACTTGCCCGAGATTCGATCGTCGGTATCCCATACCTAGTTCAATCTCGTTACCGGCAAGTCTCTTTACTCGTTCCATAATCCATCATCCCGCAACTAACTCATTAGTCGCAATGCTTGCAAGGCTTATGTGATGTGTATTACCGAGAGGGCCCAGAGATACCTCTCCGACAATCGGAGTGACAAATCCTAATCTCGAAATACGCCAACCCAACATGTACCTTTGGATACACCTGTAGAGCTCCTTTATAATCACCCAGTTACGTTGTGACGTTTGATAGCACACAAAGTGTTCCTCCGGCAAACGGGAGTTGCATAATCTCATAGTCATAGGAACATGTATAAGTCATGAAGAAAGCAATAGCAACATACTAAACGATCGGGTGCTAAGCTAATGGAATGAGTCGTGTCAATCAGATCATTCATCTAATGATGTGATCATGTTAATCAAATGACAACTCTTTGTCCATGGTTAGGAAACATAACCATCTTTGATTAACAAGCTAGTCTAGTAGAGGCATACTAGTGACACTCTGTTTGTCTATGTATTCACACATGTATTATGTTTCCGGTTAATACAATTCTAGCATGAATAATAAACTTTTATCATGATATATAAGGAAATAAATAATAACTTTATTATTGCCTCTGGGGCATATTTCCTTCATCCTTGGGCGCCCGTAGCCCCACCAACGCGCCTAGTCATCTTGGACTACGTCGTCGTCCACCCAGGATCCGTTTGTAGCCTGGTACACTCCATCCCCTACTGACTCCGTCCACAACGGACACCACACCCTACAGGTGTTCGATCAAATGTCATTGAGCTTTCTTGTTGAATTTTCTGTTATTTCCTAGAGTAATTTGATGGCGGGCTACTCGGTGATCGAAGATGATTTGTTGTGCAATGTGTGGTTGATCGTATCTGCGGACTTGTAGGAAGGTACTCAAGGGGCTTGATTTTGTGGCAACGTGTGCATGCTTCACTTCATGAGCAAAAAAAAAAGAACTTCACGATGTATGACATGCACGTCATCCATGAACGTAATGTGAAGTTGGTACCGCATCGATGATACACGATCTGCAACTCTGTCATCAAGTATCATGGTGCGATTCACCTGAGTGGAGACAATGTGGCCATTGAGCTCATCAACCATGGAGATTGTAAGTTTTGCTCCTTGTTGCTCTACATGTTGGTTAATTCATTCATTCACTCAATGTTGCTTTACGCGTTGTATAGGCTGCACTCGCTAATGTGTTGTACTACAGGATCGAGGGCAGGCCATTCACGAACATATGTTGTTGGATGAAACTCAAGAGGCAATATGTGTGAGATGACATGTGCCAATTCTGACTCGGGTATCTTCGAGTTTGAAATAGATGAATTCGAAGAACTTGTTGAACGTCCGGTAATCTCGGATGCAATCATTTACATTTGAACTGTTGTTTTAGGGATATTTGCAAGTTAATTATGAATGAATTGTGTTATTTTTATATAATTATTTTGAGTGTCGCGGTTTTTAAAGAAACTGGGACGAAAATTCAGAAGACGTGGTTAGATGACCGGCTACTGCACTAGTGTCCACGGACTGGTCCGAACCAGCCCCCAAGACAAATAATGTGTTCGTTTTAGGGATGGGCGTGAGAGATGCCTTATATTCCAGCAACATTTGAGACAACCAATGACAAGCGAGCATGGTTGCGCATCATGTATTGCACTCGCAGAGAATAGTATTGTACGTACCCACTCAAAGAAAATGCCAACACCTCCACACACACACATTCATAGAGCCCATGAGAATGCCCATGACTTGTGACTACACTTCCACCCTGAACCAAATCCTTCCTAGCTAGGAGCACGAATCAGTAGGCGGCCATGTCGCCGTGCGCCCATGCCGCCATGACTTTTCAGGTGCCCATCCACCATTTGCCTTCCAGCCCCCTCTCCCCTTATGGAAGCCATGCACAACAGGAGGGGCAGAAGCGCCATTTAACTAGCCTCCAGCAGAGGCTCTATCCATCCATCGTGTGGATAAACCCTGTGATGCGCAGCTGTGTCCGTGTGTCGTGTCAACCAGCTCGATCACCATGAACCGCACGCTAGCCTAGCCAAGCCAAGCCAGGCCAGCTCCCGGGTAGGGACACGAGTGACGAGGGTGGTGCAACCCAACGCATGGCGTGTGTCCGCTTGCCCATTAGTAGCGGCCTTGTCCCACTCCCACCCCAGAGACGACCTACCTCGCCTGGACCCAGCTTAGCTGAGCCACAGCTCCTTGTCCCGTCCCGTGCCATGCTATCCGTCAATCCGTCCATGCATGCATGTATATCCGGATGCAGGTCCATTATTTTTCTAAAATATTCATGCAGAGATATTTTCCAAACAAGATGATCGCATTTTTTCCAGACAAGATAATCATGTATTATTGCTTCCTCCGTCACATGATATAATGTGAAAAACGCTCTTATATTATGGGACGAAAAGAGCAGTGTGCATTTTTTAGTTAATCGCTTGTGGTGGTGAATCTCTTGGGGCAACAGAAGTCACGGGGCATCGGTTCCTCAAGCATAATTCCCCTTCACATTATTGGTTTGTTTAGCATTATGTAATTGCATCTAGTTCTAATTCCCTTCCCCTTGCATAATTGCACCGCCCTTTTTTGCTTGCTTGTTCTTTTCTGCGTGTTTTTCGCTCAAGAATATGTATGGCACCAACAGTGGAGGATTCTCACAATCATACCAGCTGGTTTCACTCAGGGTTAACTCGGATGTGACGCACGAGTCGTCCTCATCGGCAGCGCGATGATATCGACAAAAAAACATTCAAAACTCACGAACAAACTTGTATTCTTCTTGAAGAAACATCGAATTAAAAAGTGTTCCCACATGAGGAAAACCCGAGTTGTCCACCGAACTAGAAAAGATTAGAGAAAAGAACCACAATCAATTATTCTTGAAAGCTACGCGCTATAATCTCGTGTGTCTCAGCTTAGGACGCGTGCTAATCACCGATTCGCTGCCTTTGACGACGACATATTAGCAGATGAAAGTCTTAATAGTCTCTTGTATTTATCTTTTTTGTCCTTTTAGAGCTGACAACAAGTGCCCTATCGCTGTAAAGATAGGTACATGAGCAACAAAACTTTGAATTCAAAGATGATGATTTAGAGTAAATAAAAAATACGTAACAAAAGAAGTTGGACTTGGATTGCTAATCGCCTATTGGCTCATGGCTGATGCAGGCGGCCTACTAGCCTAGCCTAGCTAGGGCCTAGAGCCGAAGATATACTTTACTGAAGGAAAATAAAATGCCCCACCACATGAATGAAGAGCATAAACAAATCAACAAAGTCAAAGAAGAAACAATATTCAGATATACTCCAAGTTGCAGCACGATAGTACTACACCAGCAGCAACCTGGGCACAGTCCACTTGCCACTGCTGCCAGCAGACAAGGATTAAGCAGCTAGCTGACAGAAGTGCTCACAAAACACACAAAGTGACAGCCCTGGATCTCCATCTCGGAAAGATTAGCGGCAGCTGCCTCTACTTAATTAATCAGAGCAGCATCAAGGTAAACTAGGTTAGCAGCAGCTACTAATTAAGAAGGAAACATGAGGGCAGCAACCCGGGTTTGTTTAGTCACACTGGTTAACCGGCCAAGTGGCACCAAAAGCGCCGGATTAAGAACCTGTAACTAACCAGCCAAGCAGCATTAGCAGCAGCAGCAGGGGCATCAAGTAGTGGTAGTAATATGCCGCGTCGGTGTCAGCAGTTTTGGTGCCACAGTTGTATGGCACATAGATCAGCAGTGAGGGACGGGTCAGCAATGCTGTCTGAGCCCTGAGGTCAGTCTCCTCTCCTCTTCTCTTCTTCTTCTTCTTCTTCACCTCCTTGTCATCGCTGCTGCTGCTGTGCTACCATCCAAATCCCGGAGCTTTCCATCGGTTAAATTCCGGGCCAAAATAGTGGGCGCCCACCAGCGCCCTCCTCCCCGTCTCTCCCCCCCTGTCCTCATATGCCGCTCCTGTCCCGTTCTCCTCCTGCCGCTTCTTCCTTTCTTTGCTTCTCTCGCTCTGCCAGCGCCCTCCTCCTCCTCTCTGAATCTCTCCCCTGCCGAGGAGGCCCGTCGCGTGCCGCCGCTTCGGACCCCGGCCGTCGAGGCGGCTGCCCGTGACCCGGGGAGGTTTTCTTGGGGGGAGAAAGGTCGGGGTTTTCGGCTGGTTGGTTTGGATTTTGGTTCTTGATTTGAGGGGCGATTTAGGTTGGTTTTCTGCGATTCGGAGTCCCTGTGCTGTGATTCCTGCCGCTCCCTGCTTCCATTTCTGTTCCCTGCAAGCACCCCCCGGAATTCAGAGCGGCCGAGGCGGTTCTTCGCTCCGGGCCTCCGTCCATGTAAGAATTGGGTTGGGGTTGGAGGCGTCGATGCGGAGATTCGAGGTCGAACTTTGAGCGAGCGGGAGATCAAGAACTGTTGCTCGAAGGTCGATTTTTATCCGTGAACCCGGTTTTCAGATTGGTTGTTGCGAAGGCTGCAAGTGGAGGACGACTGTCGTTTTTGGCGAGGATTTGAGAGCTGTGGTCGAGGTCAAAAGAGATCAATGGCGTCGCTATCCGAAAGCGAGGGGACGAACAGGGGGGGCATGTGGGAGCTGGATCAGAACCTTGATCAGCCCATGGATGAGGAAGCCACCAGACTCAAGAATATGTACCGGGAAAAGGTCTGACGTTTCTCTTCTTCAGTTAGTTGCTTTACAGTTCATTTATATTAGTATTTTAATTCATCTGTATTTAGCTTCCAAGACTTGGTTATTTTCAGAGAAAATGTAAAATCAGTCTCTGCATGTGACCAGTTCATGTCAATGTGCAGTTTGTGCTTTGAGAACATCTGGAACAGATGTGTTACTTTGATATGGATTGTGCTGCTTGAACATATTGTTTGCCATCTCTAGTGTGCGAAGTAATTTGGTGTAGTTGGTATTATGGGATTACCATTTTATTTTTCAATGATGGTGGGATTACTGAGTAACTGAAGAAATATAATTTTTAGTGCTTTCTTGGTAGTGAAAATGATGCGCTTCCAGGTGTGTCAGGGAAAAGAAAAAAGGAGCAGCGATTTTGTTTATCCAAGTTTTTTCTGCATTCCATTGTGATTAAACAATTAGCAGAATAATCATTAGTCCTGAAATTTGATGCTTGTGTATTTTTGAAAAGAAACTGAATGCTTGTTTATTATTCAAGTTGTTGGGCTACTAAATCAAGAGTTTATATTGACTGTTATTTCCCTTGATGCAGAAATTCTCATCAGTTTTGATGCTGCGGCTTGCATTTCAGAGCCTTGGGGTGGTCTTTGGTGACTTGGGCACATCACCGCTCTATGTGTTCTATAATGCCTTTCCTCACGGAGTATACGACGACGAAGATGTTATTGGAGCTCTTTCCCTGATCATTTACACCCTTACTCTCATCCCTCTTCTGAAGTATGTTTTTGTTGTCTTGAGGGCAAATGACAATGGTCAAGGTAAGATAATTTATCCGCACAAGGTCCAAATATCATACTGGTTAGACCTTCAATGAGATGGTGTCTCTTATGATCTGCTCTGTACTTGGCAAAAAAGGAAAATACTGACTGCAATACATCTCAAATGCTTGTTTCTACACATTAGCTAACGCCAAGCACAGTAGAATTCAATAAGGGGCAACTATAACAGTGCATTTTTTCCATCAGATTGGTAGGTGAATATGTTAATACAATGCCTTTCTGGTCATGAGATGCCAGAGTGGCAGCTAAATTATTTTCTATGGAAAGTTTAGTCTGAGATCACTCTACTGTTGCCTCAGTGTTGGAAACAACTCTTCCATGCACAATTTTGTGACTTTTTGATTTGATAACTTTGCTTGCAGTTTTACACTGGTGGTGACCTCTTTTTTTTGTCTTGCAGGTGGTACACTTGCTCTATATTCACTACTCTGCCGTCATGCAAAGATCAGCACTATACCCAACCAACACAAGACTGATGAGGACCTAACGACATATAGTCGGCAAACTTATGAGGAGAACTCATTGGCAGCGAAAATAAAGAGATGGCTAGAAACACGCGCATATAAAAGAAACTGTCTTCTTATTCTTGTTCTCCTTGGTACTTGTACAGCTATTGGAGATGGAATCCTTACTCCTGCTATATCAGGTATTCTGCATAATTTCTTCTAAACTCATGTTCAGCATCATATTTTTGTGAGTAAATTGAACGTTTCCAGGAACCTGATTTGTGATTTTGTGTTTCACAGTTCTTTCTGCATCAGGTGGTATAAAAGTTCAAAATCCAAACATGAGTACTGGTAATATTGTGTTTTCAATCTCATATGTACCGTTACCCTTGTACTTTATCTTTTGCATAAATCCATGTTGTAAAGTCGCTTCATCTTTGATTTTCTTTGTATGTGGCAGATATTGTTGTACTTGTTGCCGTGATCATCTTGATTGGAGTATTCAGCATGCAACACTTTGGTACAGACAAAGTTGGATGGCTATTCGCACCTATAGTGCTCATCTGGTTCATTTTAATTGGAAGTGTCGGAGCACTGAACATACACAAGTATGGTAGCTCTGTATTAAGAGCATACAATCCAGTCTATATATACCGTTATTTCCGAAGGCGGGGAAATTCTTCTAACACCTGGACCGTTCTTGGAGGAATCATGCTTAGCATCACAGGTCAGTCCGTTTTACGTATTCAGGTTTAGAAATCATGCTTAGCATCACAGGTTTAGAAATTACCTTCCATCAACCTATAATAGAACTCGTATGACATGCAGATATTTGTTTCTTTCTCTTCAGGAACTGAAGCGTTATTTGCAGATCTATGTCATTTCCCTGTGTTGGCCATTCAGGTAGCATGTCTTCCATCAGTCATTGCGATATATCTGTAGCCAAATGTGTGCTCCCTAATTTGAAAATGTCTATTTGCAGATTGCATTCACCTTCATTGTATTCCCATGCCTTCTTCTGGCATACACAGGGCAAGCAGCTTATATAATTTCCAACAAGAAACATGTGAATGACGCCTTCTATCGCTCCATTCCAGGTCCTCCTCAGATACTATAGCTTGTCATCCTATTGACTAATCCTAAGATAGATTGATCGATGTGCCAGCACATCACGTTTGCACACTGTCATAGTGCGTACCCATTATTGACAGTGCATACTAGTGCTGTTGCTTTATGTACTATAGTTCTCATAGTGAGATGTTTAATAATTGCAGATGCCATATACTGGCCAGCCTTTGTTATAGCAACTGCTGCAGCAATAATTGCAAGTCAAGCCACCATATCTGCAACCTACTCGATAATAAAGCAGGCTCTTGCATTAGGATGTTTCCCCCGCGTGAAGGTAGTCCACACCTCGAAGAAATTTCTCGGGCAGATTTATATCCCTGACATCAACTGGCTCCTCCTTATTCTTTGTATTGCTGTGACTGCTGGATTCAAGAACCAGAGCCAGATAGGAAATGCATACGGTAAGGTTTACTTTCTAAATATGGAGTCTGATGAGCATTCCTTGTTTGCAACACCATGTAGTATATATTGCTAAGCTTGGAAAGGCTACATTCAGACAATTTAAAAGGAAAGATTGCCTTATAATAGAAAGAGTGACTGGTAATAGGCTGAAATTGTCCTGAAATAAGAACTGTCGCAGAATTTACATGACACAGTCTTCGCTGCATATCTCAGACAACTCTAAATTTAAATTTCCTGTTTGTGTGAACAGGCACTGCAGTGGTTATAGTTATGCTAGTGACAACGTTCCTCATGGTACCAATAATGCTGCTGGTGTGGAAGAGTCACTGGATTCTTGTCATCACCTTTATTGTGCTCTCGTTGATGGTAGAGCTACCATACTTCTGGGCTTGCATATTGAAGATTGACCAAGGCGGTTGGGTCCCGCTTGTCATCGCGATAGCCTTCTTCATCATCATGTATGTGTGGCACTATTGCACTGTAAAGCGGTATGAATTTGAGATGCACAGCAAGGTGTCAATGGCCTGGATTCTTGGCCTCGGTCCGAGCCTTGGTCTAGTCAGGGTTCCAGGGATAGGCTTTGTGTACACTGAGCTGGCAAGTGGCGTACCGCACATCTTCTCACACTTTATCACCAACCTACCTGCTATCCACTCGGTTGTCGTCTTCGTCTGTGTCAAGTATCTTCCAGTCTACACAGTCCCGGTGGAGGAGCGGTTCCTTGTGAGGAGGATTGGGCCGAAGAACTTCCATATATTCCGTTGCATTGCAAGGTACGGATATAAAGACCTCCACAAGAAAGATGATGACTTTGAGAAGATGCTCTTTGACTGCCTCACGTTATTCATCCGACTCGAGAGCATGATGGATGGTTATTCAGATTCCGACGAGTTCAGCTTACCAGAGCAGAGGACTGAAGGATCGATCAACACTGCATTTCTAGCAGACAAAACTGTCAACACAATGTGCTCCAATGGTGACCTTAGCTACTCATCACAGGATTCTATTGTGCCAGTGCAGTCACCCCTCGGGGTAAACAACCTGTTGACGTACTCAAGCCAAACCAACCGTACAGTCAGCAACGAAGTTGAGTTCTTGAACCGGTGCAGGGATGCTGGTGTTGTGCACATCCTAGGGAACACCATTGTGCGCGCTCGGAGAGATTCAGGGATCATCAAGAAGATTTCTGTAGATTACTTGTATGCCTTCATGAGGAGGATCTGCAGGGAGAACAGTGTGATGTTCAATATTCCTCATGAGAGCCTTCTTAATGTTGGGCAAATATACTACATCTGAAACATCGTTTTCCGTTTGGTTTGTACTGGATTCTGAGCAAAAAGCTCTGATGTACCGTTCTCTGGAAGGGAGAGGGGGGTGGCTGCTTTAAACTGTAAATATAAATAGGGAATAGCTTCAGATTTTGTTCCGCACCCTGCATCTTTCAGGCGGTTTTCATGCTAGAAATGTTCGCCTTTTGTCTTGTAATTCGTAAGATTCAGATGCTTCCTTTCCCTGATAAATCATATATTGTGATAGTTGTCTAGAAAAATCTCTAACTGGCAACTCATGGATTCGAAAGTAGTTGCAGCTTTATAAGTTGTCACCTTTGTTTTCGTTGAAAAACCAACATCATCTTTGTGGCTGGCTGCAAAGGTTCAGGTTTTCAGTATGGCTGAATTTGATGTGACAGTCAGATAGATGTACATATGTTGTGCAACAAAAACATGCTCATGCAAAATGACTTAGTCAACTAATAAACAGTGCACATTACACAAACCATAGTTTTAGGATGATCATATTCTCATCTGAATTCAACGACAAGGGAGTTCCACGAAAACTAGCAGATAAAACTACCTAGATGGCTACATCACTGATTACATTTGCAGGTCATGCTGGTTGCTGATGACTGAACCAGATGATGGACAAAACATCTTCATCGCAAAATGAAACTAGCCTGGACCACGAACCACTCGGCATATTGAGGGCTAATTGGCCTTAGCCAATCTACGAATCTGACTTGGGCACGGCTTTTCATCCTGATTGCAACAAGCTGCGTCGCAAGGGATCTTTCCACATGGGCACTTGTCTCCATGACTGACAACAGCTTCTGCGATCGACCTTTTCTGGCAACGATGACGAAGTTCCTCAAGCTCGCACTTCAGGTTGTCGACCTGCTGCCCGAGTGAATCAACCTTGTCCGTGAGGTAGTTCATGTGCCCAATCGCCTTCTCAGGGAACTTCCTGTCCAGCCATTGGGTGAAGCCACAGTCCTGTTTTGAATCCTGACAAAAACAGAAACGAAGACATAGATTATCATTGTGGATCAATGCAGTGATAGTTAAGACCATTACATGTATATGCAACCCCGATAAACATTTTCCAAAGGAAGCTCACCGCGAAGAGAGGGCAGCGGTAGAACCTTCGCCCTGGGTCTTGACGGTCCCATGAAGTTTCAATGGTGCAAGGTTTATCATGCTTGCAAGTTGGCCAGCTGCCATCATCATCAGATTCATCTGTCACTGCAGGATCTTCATCAGAGGTTGTTTTCTTGGCACTCCACTTGACAAACAGCCTGAAAACTCCAACATGGCGCCATGCCACATTCAGGAACGCCCTCCAGGAATCGTCCCCAGTTATGTCAATCAGCACGGTGGAAGGAGGAGCCATGGGATTGTTCCTGACATACAGAATGTGCTGCGGAGTGAGCTCATGTGTCACGTCATTCAACTGGAAGAGCTGCATTATCCAGCGTCGCACTTGCTCGAACGACTTGTTCAGTGGCTCTGGTAGCCGTGCGACCAGAAACGGGCAATCGGGACTCACTAGTGCCCCCTCGGGCCCATTGGAAATCTTCCCTTCAGCAGGAAATATCACAAACTCTTCTGGCATCGACATACCTGTAGAAAAATAAAGGTATGAATGAACTATTTTCCACATTTGTATATTTCTTCTGAAACTAAATTTCCACTTTCCCAATATATATCGGCAATCCATGACGTCCCTCAATCACTGTCTAACAGTAGCAACCTCTAGTCTAGAGAGATAGAAAAGTTTGTCCTACATGTTTCCATACCACACAAAATCCATCTGTTCCCCAATTCAACTGAGATGATGTCATTTTTGGAGAAAAACTGACATAATGGCATCCTTCCCTAATCAGTAGTAATCATCATCACCATAACAGCTACCCCTATACAAACTCGCCAAAACGCACAAAAGGAACATCATTTTCTGTTTCCTACAGCTAAATCGGTTTACACACAATTCATGTGCCCTCCTAGTCAACAGCCATAGAAACACTCTTCCCTAATCAGCAATCGCCATCACCATGTTCTCCAGTTCAACTGACATGATGAAATTCTTTCCTAATCAGTAATCGAGATCACTAGTGGCGATATGTTTCAGCATAACCGCACCATTAAAGCAAAGCGAAGGAGGAAGGAAACCGCCGCGATCGGAGAAACTTTTACCTCGCAGAGGAAGGCGTGCCGGCTCCCAGCAAGGGCGTCGGGATCGCCGCCGCGAGCGAAGTCACCGGAAGCGGCGGAACCCCCTCCTCTCTCCGGCTGGATTGCCGCCTGAACCCTAGGCTGGACCCTCCTCCGGCGGTTGGAATGTGGGAGATTTCTCCCCCGTTCTCACCCTTTTATCATGCGGGGTGCCGCGGCGGAACCCGAGCGGGCTCGGCTGGTGTGGATTTTGGCGGGGAATGGTTAGCCTCTCCTCCCGCGCAGACGATTTGAAGATTTTGGGACTGCTGGGGACGCGCGCTCGATGATCGTGCTGCCGCTGGACCCAAAGTGCGATGGGAATGAAATACCAGGGGTGTCGATGCAAATGCTCCTTGCCTCGGAGTAGAAGGACGCAGCCACACGGAAATCTAAGGTCGCGTAGTCAATTGGGGTCTTTAATTCTTAATAAATTAGAATCATCCGATTTTATCCGGTCAACAATTTCTTAAAAATCTCTCCCATTCAATTCTTTTAATTTATTATGCTCATTAATTTTGCAGCTTTTTTATTCTATTGAGATATTTAATTTGGATTTTGGTTCATGACATTGACTTGATTAGATTTAGACCGGGTCAACAATTTCTTAGGAGCCCCCTCATTCAATTCATTTTCACTATGCTCCTTTACTTTGAAGCTTCTCCATTTGATCGAGGTTTCAATTTTAGATTTGGTTCATAATTTTGATAAGGAAACAAATTTTCAAATTGATCGGCAACAAACAGCCTTATATCAATCCCACACACCCACTCATCACATAGAAAAAAGAAGTGTTTATATGTGACACTGTAGCACCAAAATTTCCTTAAATAATACTGGTTGATTAGCATATAATACAAAATCACACCGCGAATGGCCTGCCAACCGTATTATAAAGAAAAGAAAACACACTCCATCATCTCCCCACTCGCAAAACTAAATACTCCCTTGGTTTCAAAATATAAGATGTGATTGTGTTTTGAAAGTCGAATTTCTTTAACTTTGACTGAGGTTAGGGCATCTCCACTAGGCCCCCCAAGAAGCCCCCCATGACCACTTTTTAGCCGCCGGCGGTAAAAATATGTCCCAGTCACGCCCCCCAGACTCTCGATTTTCGCCGGATTTCGCAAAAACTAGCGCCGGCACTCTCATGCAGAACCCAGCCCGTCAGGGAGCACCTGGGAGCGGAGAGAGAAAATTTTGCATGCATTTGGCCCACAATCAGCCTCCCACTCTCTCTTTCCTCCCTTTTTCTCCGGGTCCCACCCACTTGCATGCCCTCTCTTTTGGTTCTCTCCACCAAATGCAGAACGAGATTCTTCGGGCCGTGCACTGCTCCTTGCACCGGCCGTCGCCGCGCACGGGTCCGCCTCCACCACCGCGCCGCACCTTCCCGCGCCGCCGCGCCGCGAAGAAGGAGCCCTGCCCGCGCTCCAGCAGGCTGTGCCACTCCAGCAGCTCCCACGGCGGCGCCGCGCTCGGGTCCGCCTCCACGGCAGCAGAACCCGCGCAGCAACGAGCCACGAGCGACCCCGGCTCCTTCGGGCGCTCCACGGGCGGCCAGGGTGGGAGGCCGGGCGGCGCGTGGGGCGGCCGGGCTGGCCGGGGCGTGGCCGGCACGCCCCCCACCTCCTTCTCCTCGACTCCTCCTCCTCTCCATCCTCGTCAGCGGCGGTCAGGGAGGGCGCGCGCGTGGGCGCGGGC